ATTCATAACATATCTTTATAGGCTAAAGGATATGACTGTTACAAGACAGTAGCTTTCCGGCATTATTCAAGGACAGAAGAGAGCTGCGGTGAAAGAAAAGATTGAACTCAAGAGTTTACCCACAAGCAACTGACCTCTCTCCCCTGTCCTCAGGCATCCTGGGCATTCAGCTCAGGGCCTGGGTTTGCGGGTGAGACGGCAGCCTAACTAGAGTTGCAGTGCACCTCACTGTAGCTGGCTTCAATCCAGCCTCACCTATGAGCAGACGGAAGCTTCAACGAGAGTTTCTTTACTGTATGCTTCACCTCTGTATACACTTATAGAGCGTTTGGCTTTGCTTGCAGCTACCAAGGCCAAGTGAATATACTCCTGCGCTAACTGCAGGCAAAACAAGTATGGAGTGTCCAGTGTAGGATAGTCTATCTGGAGCTGATAATATATTTCGACCTTCAGAGCAGGCCAGCTCCTGAGTGCTAGTCTGCACAGTTTTTGTGGATGCATTTAGCTTTTGTTGACTGTGTTGGTGAATGCATCGAAGGTGGGATTGGGCATGCTATGGGCGTTGCGTTTCCGACGGAGATCAGCAGATTTGATAGCGCTACATGGTTTGGCAGCGCAGGTGCGATCCACCAAAGCGGACGCGACACAACTTCTCTCTGACTCCATTCGCTATATCTATAGCAATGCACCATGCTCTTCCTGCTGTTAGCACAGGAACCCACAGGAACTCGCCTGGCCTTCATAGGCTGCCTGTAAGCAACCTCCAATGCTCAATAAGTGTTTACAACGATAAAGCATGCAGTAGAGAAAGCTCTACTGGAGCTTTAGTGTGCTCCCATGTGAGGCTGGCATGCATAGCTAGATGCAACAAGGCGCACTGCAACTCCTGTTAGGCAGCGTCTCGTTTCCCCCGCAGCCCCAGGCCCTGAGCTGCTGCGCCCAGGATGCCTGGAGACGATAGAGAGATGTCAGATACTTTTGGGAAGGCTTGAGCTTCATTGCAGCTCGTTTGAATCCTTGAAAGAACACGAGGAGCTCGTGCTCATAAGCACTATCTGTGTGAAGTCGCGATCTGATTCGCTACATACGCCCAGGCTGCCTACTAAGGGCCAATTAAGTACTCAACGCTTATCTACAGTCCGAATTCAAGCAGCAAAAGCTTGTCGGTTGTCGCAGCATGCGGAGCTGCCGCTCAGGACTGGTCCCACCAAACTGTATTGCAACTCAACTCATCTCAGGCTGCTTCCGTTCCTGTGACCCCAGACCCTTGGACCGCCGGAGCCAGGCTGCCTTGGGAACAGGATACCTTGGGTATTGAAGGGAAATCAGTTACTTCTGGAAACACTAATATGACGTATGTGGCTCTACTGCAACTAGCGCTGGTCCTCGAGTAAGACAGCGGATTCTCGTTGCATATCAATTCGTCCTTAGATAGCTTACCACGTTTAAGTTTCTTTAATTATGCCATACCCCATTCTATTGACGAGATGTATGAGTATTTACGACTAGTGAATGCTGTACAGCAGAGTGTCTCGCTGTGCTTGCGGGGTTCGGTGCTCCCGGTTGCCACTGTCAACAATGCGGTGCTACCATGTGTAGGGAGAGTCCACGGTTTTCGCTGATGAGCATAGTGAACTGTAATGCAGCTAGTAACATTATGCAGGAATAACCAGAAAGCAGCAGACTTTCTCCTCAGCCGCCGAGCGTCTGAACGTGGTGAGTAAGGTAAGCGGCCTGTCGTGAGCCACACGTGCAGCTCCTGCTTTAGGACAACTCTGCGTTCGAGCGTGCCCAACCCCCCTTTTGTGCATGTACTAACACTGTAAGCAGCTGTTTAACGCTTACTTGACCCTCGGTTGTCAGCGTGCTCGCTCGTATACATACCAGTTCCACAATCAGACAGACCATGCTGCGACCTGCTTACGCGGATGTCTGCACGAAAACGTCAACTAATAAATTCAGCTGTAAATAACAATGTGGCATGGTATTGACTTATTTAACTCATTTGTATCTTCGGGTGAGTGAGTGAGTGGGTGAGTGAGAGTGCTACATTTCGTTGGTGGCAGAGGCCCACCTCTACGGCCGACCTCGGCCGCAGCTGCAGCAGCTGCAAGTCCTGGTGGACTAGGCGCTGTAGCGTGGAAGCGCGTTTCCTTGGCCAGTATTTCGAATAAACACATAATTTATAGATTTAATTGCTGCTAGTTGACGTCTTTTCTTATTCGAGCGGCATATCGTCGCTTCGACACTTTTGCATGCAACTTGTTGATGCGTAGCACTGGGCCAACCCAGTAGAAGAACGCCACTTGCAAAGTTCTGCGGCGGCTGCTTACGTCGTCGTAACCGTGCGTCTTTTTCAACTCAGCTGAACTCTGCATATTTCCTGACATTCACTGATCAGTCACCGGAATCATGGCGCGTACAAAGCAAACTGCCCGCAAATCCACGGGGGGAAAGGCACCGCGAAAACAACTCGCGACGAAAGCAGCCAGAAAGTCTGCACCTGTTGCAGGAGGGGTCAAAAAGCCTCATAGATATCGTCCGGGAACCGTAGCCTTGCGTGAAATTCGTAAATTCCAGAAAAACACGGACTTGCTCATTAGAAAGCTGCCCTTTCAGCGACTGGTGCGCGAAATCGCTCAAGACTTCAAGACCGATCTCAGGTTCCAAAGCCAAGCAATCCTCGCGCTGCAGGAAGCTGCAGAGGCTTACCTGGTTGGCCTGTTTGAAGACACGAACTTGTGCGCTATTCACGCCAAGAGAGTGACCATCATGCCCAAGGACATTCAGCTCGCCAGGAGGATACGAGGCGAAAGGTCTTAAACGCCGCAGCAGAGGCCTGCGGATTCAGGAGTTCGGAGGTGTTTCGTTTGCAGCTGTACCGTTTTCCCTTTGCAGCTTTTATCAGGATATACCCGGACGCTGGCCGCACGCATTCCAGGGGGTCCTAGGTTGCTGAAAGGTTGCTGAAAGGGGAAGGGAGAGGGGTCGTTGCTGTATGGAGCCTTCATTCGATTATTTTGCATCGTTCACAAGAAGAATGAACTTGAAAGCGCTCATCAGATGTTTTAGAAACGTCAGATATGGGCTGCACCGCGGCAAGGGATTGCAGCATTAAGCCCTGCTTGTGCTTCCTTCGTCAAGTGTTGTGGCTTGTCGAGTTCTCTGTGGGATAATAGATGAGGGTAAGTACGAACCCTCTATTTTGGGGAGTTTTGCTCCACTCATACCGACCAGACTTCTGCACTGCCAGCTGCAGCTGCACAGCTGCCGCACAGTGCTTTCCTTATTAAGTTGCTTTTCCAGTTTTGTAATCTGTTCTTTTCTGCGAGAATGCAACGGTGCCGAGTGGCCTCTTGCGCATCCGAACCAGACGAAGCAGTGTCCAAGCACTGTCTGCTTTGACGCGAGTAGTGAGGTCACCTCTGCCAGTGAGTCTCGCCGTAGTCGGTGTCGGTTTGTGTGCAAAAGACTGAACTGCTTGAACACTGTTGGCAGCGAGAACGCACACAGACTGACTGAGGGACTTTAGTGCTTTGGTGTACATAGATATGTCGTGTAGCGAGCTGCGCAGGACATCTACGTAACAAACTGTTGGCGCTCGCCAGAATCGGAAATAAATGCGCTTCGGAAGTCATTATATATATATATATATATATATATATATATATATATATATATATATATATATATATATATATATATATATAAGCGGCCGCCTCCCGTGAAGATCGCGACCCCTGGCCCCAAAGGCGATAGAAGGCAATTCCTTCTATCACAGCCTGGAAAGTACTGCAGTGCAACAGGGCACAGAAAAGCAGGAGGAAGTTCTTCTGCTCCTGCGCTTCACAGTGACGCATTCATTCAGGACAGCTAGAGTGAACAACTCGCCTGTCAGCGTGACAAGCTAGCCAGCCAGCATGAACAGCTAGCCAGCTAGCGCGGGCAGCTAGCCATATACTGCAGAGGCACCCTGCCCTGTGAACAGAACAATGCGGAATACGCTTCGACAGCCTACACACCTGCGCCTCTCCTTTGCAAGGGCAGTGTGACAGACGTTCGCTGCTCTTCGTGTGGAATATCTTCTACCCCTCCAGAAGAAACGGAAAAT